TACTAAGCGTGAGGATCGAACTCACTACACCGTCGTAATTGATCTAGCGAGGCAAGCTTCCTAACTTTACACCTCGTCAAAATGTCCAAATAATGATGGATATATAACTGAATAAAATATACGTTTTATATCTTACGAAGAATGAAAATGCAAGCCGCATACAGCACAAATATCACAGGAAAAAGTTACTGGAACTCGGTTGGTCTGTTCTATCCAACCCGCCATATCCATGTGACCTTGCTCAAGTCGATTATTAAGTTTTTCGATCGCTGCGCAATACTTTGACAGGAAAAAGTTTCTGTAATGAAAAGCAGCTTCAACTATAATTTTTTTGTTGAAAATCTTTTCACGCCAAAACGTGCGGAATTTTTAGTCAAAGTGCATCGAAGAGTTTCTTAGTAAGTGGCTACAAGTATTGGCAAATAATGGTGAATATATAACTGAATAAAATGTAAGTGCAAATTAGTTTATGAAGATTAAAATTAATAAACAAAAAACGAAAATTATGTAACTCAATCTAACAGTTACTTTATAATCTTCTAAAATAAACTGCAATATTTACACATTTGTATTTCTTGTTTTTGTTTTTTTCATTTCATGTTTTATTTCCAGTTTGAATATTTTCCGCCATTTTTCTCTTTCATTCGTTCACTCGTTTTCTCGCCATTTCTGCCTTGTTCCCTCTCTTCTGCTCGACCAATTTCCGTGAAAATTCTTTCTCCACGAACGTGCCTCGCCTCAAGTTCCTGAAACGACCAAAAGGGGGCGGCACAATCGACACGCAGGATTGAATGCACAAAAAAGGAGCGGAAGGCTATCACGCACCAGTCAAAAACATTGACATGAGGAACCACTGTGCGCATGCGCGTGCCGTGTGTGGAAGCCATTTGTAATGGTTTTTATGTGTTCGAGCGTAAGTCGACATGTGTCTTATAAATATTTTTATACGTATATAAGAAGACATTCGTTTCAATGATTATATATATATATATATATATATATATATATATATATATATATATATATATGAGTAGGTTCTGAATACTTTTTGATCTGACTACTTCCGAAAAGCTCACACACGCATGCACGCACGCACGCACACACACACACACACACACACATATGTATATATATATATATATATATATTGGAGACCTCCATAAAAAACGCGATACCTAAGTTTTAAATTTAATTTTTTAAAATGAAAATTCATTCCTGAATCTCCTATTTTAGTTTTAATTCCAAAAGATTAAATTTAATAGTTCCAATAATCAAAACATTTTGTGGCATTTCAAAACAAATTTAAATTGAGTGGAAGGAGTTTGTACTAAAATAGCTGATTCGTACCATTTTTATTCGTCTTTCATCGCAAGTGTAATTCTCTTTATTAAAAATCTTCCAAAAATATAATATCTTCCAAAATAAAATAAATTTTCTGAAACTTTATTTGAAGAATATTAGCTGATTTAAAGTATAATTAATCTGATTTGGAACAAATATTATTTATTTTAAGTTTAAAATATCGCAGAAAAACATTTTAACCCGACAGTAGCTGTGTTGACAGCTTGATACCAGATCTAATAAACTTAATTGATGAAAATTACGTGAGCGCTTTTTTATATAATTTTTAAGTACTCTGTAATCTTAAGAAATTAGCAAAATATTCTTCGTAATCTAATGTTTTATCGAATTTTAAAAATAATTGCTTTAAATTTGATATAGTTATCACTATTATTTTCTGATAATATCGTGTATAGACGCCCGTATCTATAAAAATTTGGACGTTTGTGCACATATAAAAAAATTCAAAATTCTTTTGGAAATATTGGTCTTTGATGTTTTGTATTAAGTTTTTCTATTTATGATTTTATATCATCATTTAAAAGGCTGAAATTAATACAGATTTTTAAAAGATTTATAACTTAATAAATCTCTCTGATTAAAATTTAAAAAAGTGAAAATAATTTTTGTAATTATTCATTATTCATCGAATATTTTCCTCAAGACACTACTACCCTTAATATATCTTATTTATAAAAGTAATTAAACGTTTTTCTAATTAAATAATGTCATTGTTTTATTGCATTGCTTATTTTAAGATTTTCGGTAAATAGTTTCTGTTTAACAAAAACAAACTGATGATTTAAATTCTCCAAAGAGTCCTGCTTTTAACTAATATAAATATGAAGAGGATGGAATTTTAATTTCTCGAAATTTCATAAAATTAAGTGAGTGTAACAATGCAATAACAAAAATATTTTTACCCAGATTTTCAAAAAAAAAAAAAAAAAATTTTTCAAAACTAATTTCATTCATTTGTAAATAAATTCTGAAAATTTTACTAAAACCCGACAATTATTTGATTTTTGCAAGAATTTCTCAATGTGTTTTTAATGCCTAAAAAGACGCTAAAAATCACTATAGTAATCTTTGGCACACCCGCTGACGCAAAAAACGAAGATTTTTAGCTAAATTTTCGTACGTGCGAGAAAGGATTAAAAAAATATAATAAAATAATAAAAAATATTTTGGTCATTCCTCTTAATAATAACATAAATATTATAACGATAAAACTTTGCTTTCATCAAGTTTGGGGCCTTTTTCATCTTGGTATACTCGTTTTTAGAAGATATTTGGAGGTACGTAATATTCATTAATTAATTGATTGATTTGCTTTTGCTGCTTATCGATACATTGTGTGTTATTTAAACCCAAAATACATTTATGGATTGTAAGAATCTATTTTGCAAGTGAGTATGGCATTAACAATTTTTTAAAGACTAACAAATATTTTCCCCACATACAAGTCCTACTGTTTAACCCATAGCTAAGGGAGGATAGAGATTCATACCGTTTCCAAAGGATTTTCTGAGTAAGTGAATGTAACAAATCAGTCTGGAATTAGAACTCGTCTCTCTGACTTTTGGTTCTGAGTCACCACCAACACATCCACTGCATACATAAATATTTTATTTCGCCCCAGAACGCGTTCGAGAAATCTGAACTGTCTCTGATGATAAATATAAGTGTCCTTATATCACAGCTGAAGAAAGACCTGAGGCAAATGTGGTTCTACAGAAGGATGTTGAGAATACCCTTAAATAAAGATGTGATCAACGGCGTAGTTTTAAAGAAAATGGAAATAGGATACTTCACACAATATCAACAGGCAGGTTGCCGGCTGTCACGCGGGTTTCTTTTTTGCGTTCGACGTGATCTGTGCGTGTCCATTTTTTCAAGCTCTTTTTCTTCATTATGTGTCTAAGAAATTTCAAACTGCTTCTTATTGATTCTGAGTATAAGTTTCCTTTTTGTTTCCATTTTTCTTTAGAATTCTTCGTTGTTTCTGTGCTCCGTTCATGCTATTCCCAATATCCTAACATTTCTGTTGCCTTCTGTTTTTTTTTTCTTCTGTGAGGAAATTCTCCTGCATTCGCTGACATATTGGAGGATTAATATTACATTGCGGTCCAGCACTGCTTTCTCTGTTTCTAATAAAATAGCTTGGACCGATTTTAAATGTGAGTTAAGTTTAAGCGTCTAACGTTTTTTTTCTTTTTCTTACAGATTTAACAACTTAAGTCTTTGACAATTTCAACCATGGAAAGATTAACAATCAAACAACGTGTTAAAGTTATCGAAGCTTATTACGAAAATGGATAGTCAAACAGAATTTGAATGAGACGTTTCCAGTCGCATCATCTCTCGAAACAGCGAAGTCAATTGGCCACCACGATCGTTCGAGTTGACGCCTTTAGATTTCTTACTTTAGGGTCATCTCAAAAGTAAGGTCTATGCCAACAAGCCAATAACAATTCAACAGCTGAAGGATGAGATAATAAGGCATATTGGTGAGATCGAAGAGCAACTATGCAGACATCATCAAAATTTTTGACATCGAACGTAAGTGTGCTGCCAAAGACTTGGCGGACATTTGGGAGATATTATTTTTCACACATAATTGCCATGACTTAAATAACATGATCCAATAGAGAAATAAATAAATTTTCACCAATAACATTGATTTATTTACTGCTGACTTTAATCCGACTTAAAGAAACACCATGTAGCACCAGGTAAACAATAAACTGATAAAAATATATTCTCAGCATCAACCTGTAGAATCACATCTCAGTTGCTAACAATCTCCTATTCATCTGTGAGGAAATAGTCCAGCATTCACAGCCCTATTTGAGGGTTGATATTACAAAACAATTCAGAATGCATCACTTTTTTTTTGTTTCTAATTAAATAGTACTAGGTACATAATAAAATGATCGATAAAATATATTCTCAGTATCCTTCTGGAGAACCACATCACTTTTGCCTCTAGTCTCCTCTTTATCTGTAAGTAAATTGTTCAGCATTCACTGCCTTATAGGATTGATATTACATCGAAGTTCAGCACTCTTTTCTCTGCTTTTCATTAAAAAAAGTACTAGTTAGATAATAAAATGCTAGATAAAATATATTTTCAACATCCTTCTGTAGAATTACATCCCTGTTGCCTCATGTCTCTTCTTCATCTGTGAGGAAATTGTCCAGCATTCACAGCCATACTGGAGGCTTAGTATTACATAGCTCTTGTGATTTTTCCTGGATTCTTGATTCTTAATAATCTTTATTAAGCTTGGCTTAGTCTGGCACAGTATCAGAGATCGAGAGTGGTTAGGAATAAGAAACCGTATTACACCAATATTTTAAGTGTGGAGCGAATGTTTAAGTTGAAAATCAGTATTTGAATTCTTGGTTGAATATCAGTAGCGTCTTTGCGAAATATGTAACTGCTTTAAACATGAGCTAGATATCATTTCTTGATATGAAATTTTACTCTTGTATTTGTATCTCATTGCTATCACCGGACTTCAAAGAACAGCAGACATTTTGAATACGTCAGCACAAGCTTCAGCATTTTAATTCTTTTTTTCCTATTATTTTCTCCTTTTTTAGTTTTATAATAATATAATTCTCTTCTTCCACTTTTCCTTCTGTTGGTTTTTCGGCTACATCACGTTGAGAAACCGGTTCCCGTGCGATCGCCGAAGTTAAGCAACGTCGAGCCCGGTAAGTTCCTAGATGGGTGACCACTTGAGAATACTAGGTGCTGTAAACTCGGATATGCGATAGTTTTAATGGAAAAGCGCATGGAATTGTTAATCGGAGAGCCGTGTTCTAATTCCAGTTCAGTGTGTTACATTCGCTTACGCGCAAATACGTTTGAGAAAAGTATAAATTCACCTCTTCTTCTCCAACTATTGGTTAATTAGTAAGACCTGTCTCACTAAAACAGTATGATCTCTCCACCCCAAAACATAAATAAAATTGTGTTCAAAATATTTAGATTTCGGCATTAAATAACCCATATGCCGATAAACAAAATCAACCAATCCTCCATTTTTGTTTTTCCTTGTTTTTTTTTCATCGTCGTTTTCTTTGTTCTTTTACCGTTTCTTTTTCCTTTTCTTCTTCTTCATTAGCCCTTTTCTTACTTTTTCTTATGCTTTCTTTTTCCTTTTTGTTATTCACTATTATTTTATCTATTTATTCTCTTAATCTTTTCTTTGTGTTTCGTGATCTTAATACTCATCATGTCAAAGTAGCTTAGTCATGCTAATAGTACTGATGTTGCCCGTAGTAAAGCTTTCTATTTTTCAGTCGCTCAAGCTCTCAGTCACATACTAGACTTCCTTTCTCGCTTCCCTAATAATTTCGACGATGTAATTTTTACTTTACTTTTCTTTGATATTTCTTTTAGGTTTTCTCCTTTTTTTTCTTTTTTCTTTTTTAACGGCATATCAACTACTTATGAGTCATTTAATTTTCTTAGGTGCTTTGAAGGAAGTAATAAAAACAATATATGTTATTTTACTTTCACAATTGAATACATGGTAAACGACGCTCAGCTTTTGTGCATATACATGTTTGTGTGGACATGATTTCTAGAGTCGGTGATATGTGTGTTTTATGTCGTAGTTTTGTTGTAGTTTTATTTTGGAATACAGTTTCATTTCTTTAAGAAATTGTAGGTTTTTATATGGATTAATGTCATGAAAGAGTTCTTTCATGTTGGTTGTTTGGTTGATTTTGTCTAGCGGCATATCAACACCTCTATGGGTCATTTAATGCCGAAATCTAATTATTTTGGACACAATTTTATGGCTTCAACTAAATATATTTTAAACGCAATTGCCTTCTACTACAGATAAAATGTATTGTTGGTCATTTTGCTTTAAAAATATATATTGTTAATCATTTGCTGTAAATAGGTATTGCTGGTATTTTTACTATAAATATGCATTTTTATACTTTGATAGTCTTTTATTGTTGTTTGGGGATTCACTATTTGCCATTAGCTGGAACAATTAAGAAGTAGTTCCGCACTTCTGAAAACATCCAATTCCCGGATCAGAGGCCTTGTTGCTGGATGTAGTTTACCGTCATCCCCAGGTCTGCCCTATTATGCATGAACCCCTGTTTGCAAGACATCGATTCACAGCGTAACGACTAGGATTCATTACGCGATTTTCTTTAAGCTTCCTATTCAAAATTGTGCCTCTAATTTTTTTTTTCATGAGGGAAAACCATTATCGATGCTTTGCAGCCATCTCGTAAGTACCAAAGCCACAATCTTCTACTTCTAATTCAACTGCCATCGCCCAGAATTACTTCTTTCCGACTATACCAACGTAATAGCTTTGATCACAGCGGCCATGTCTTTGTGTTCGTTCGTAATAAGGGCAAAGCGTTTTCAGAAGGTAAATCGTTGTTTACTGATAGAATGAAGCACCGTATAGTCTCACACGTTTGCTTCTCCTGACGACTGGCGGCTCTGTGAGATTGTGTCTTTTCCGTAAATTTGAAATACAGACTTTATCCGAACTTCTTGGGACCGGAAATGTTGCGTTTTACAATTTTTTTCGGGTTTCGGAATACAGGCTAATTAATTTGTATACTGCATCTATAAAATGGTCACACGGAAGTGGTGAAATTAAGATTTCACATAAAAATAATGTTTTCTACTTTATGTACATGTCCAAAAACATGATCACTACTTACGAAAAATATATAAATATCGGACTTTTTGACATTTTGAATAATATCTTTACTGGGCACGAAAAGCCTTGTAAGTCATCCCCGAATGAAGCTTTTGCTGTGACGATGGCTACCAAAAAAAAAAAAAAAAACCTTCGCCAACATAGGCTACGGAGCTAGGCTGGGGAAATGGTAGATGATTTCACATCACCTAAGAACTTTTCCAGTGCTTTCTGAGATTTTCCCATTTGTGGTAAATGATGTCAGCATCGGATTTTGGAGGTTTTCGGTTTTGGGAATTTCGGATAAAGGATACTCAATCTATAGAATCATTTTCTGCCGATAAAGTAAAATGTTTTTCATGTAAATTCTCTTCTAATTCTACTCTCGACGTATTAGGAGTATCTTTGCCCTACTTCTCACTTAGAATTGAGTCCCAACTGTGTGATATGCATATACCACCTTCCATAGATTCAGTTCTCATCTCCAAACATGATCCTTACAGAGCATATGGACTCGGTGGTATCCCTGCAATTTTCCTTAAGAAAGGCGACCCTCAACTGGCCACTGTTCTCCCCCACGGTCTACAATAGATACCTTGTTGTTTGTTGCTTTCCAGATTATTGGCTAACATTTGTAGTTACTCCCACGAATTGTGTGATCATTCGAACTATCGATCTATTAGTCCTCTGCCTTTTTTTTTTTTTTTGACAAAGGATTAGATGCTTTAATCATCACCGACATGGTTAAACACCCCCCTTCGCAGGGTCAGAAAAACAATATAACCTTCAATTCTCTAGGTAAATGGATGGAGATCAGATTGTTATTTTAGATAGCCCGAAGGGGTTTGACAAGATTCGGCATTATGGTATTCTTCACAGGTTGAAGCGTTGTGATGCTTCCGAGCGAACTTTTTATTTGATTCAAAGTTTATTATCAAATCGCGTAATAAGAGTTTTCTTGTGCGGCCACACTTCTAGATCTTACTGCATTAACGTGGGTAGTCATAAATATGATGATAAACTGCATCCGACAGCAAGACCTGTCATTGGGAGATTGAAGGTTTTGAGGAGCGTGGAAGCACATCTTAATTCCTGTTGTTCCCAAGTTCACTCTGACCCAGGGTGGTAGCACCTGTTAGGGTCCTAGCTATGAGTAAATAGTGAACTCCCAAACAAAAACAAAACAATATGAAAGTATAAAAACACATATTTATAGTAAAATTACCAGCAATACATATTTATAGAAGAATGACTAACAATACATTTTATAGCAAAATGACATTAATACATTTTATCTGTAGTTGAAGACATGCAGTTGCATTCGAAATATTTAGATTTCGGCATTAAATAACCCATATAAGTGTTGATATGCCGCTAAACGAATTCAACCAAACAACCATTACGAAAGAACTCCTTCATGACATTAATCCATATAATATCCTGCAATTTCTTAAAGAAATCAAATTGCATTCCAATCCAAAGTATCACTTCAACGAAAGCTACATCACAAAGTAAGCATGTCACAGCCTCTAGTAATTATGTACACACAAACATATACATGTACAAAAGCTGAGTATTATCTACCATGTATTCAATTGTGAAAGCAGAATAACATATATCATATTTTTATTACTTCAACGCTCCCAGGAAATTTCAGCATTACGTGACTTATAAGGAATTGATATGCCGTTAAACAAATATTTATGCGGATGTCGCCTAGGGCTCTCTCCTTAGACTTAATTTTCCTTATTTTTTCTTTGTTCCTTATTTTCGTCATCGACTTACGCGATGCCACCTGCTCGGGATTCGATATCTTTTCTCGATTTAATCCTGTCTTAATTGATAATTTATGACCTTCAGTTAACTGAGGCAATAAATGGCCTGTTAATTTTAACGCCTCTAAAATGAGAGCGCTCTGGATAAATTAACTTAAAGATAATTTCTTGTCTTCCATTAGCAAAGGTGATTCTAACCATCAGAAGAGCGACTCGCTGCCCCTTCTTGGTCTGACGTGTTCCATTGCAATGGGTCTAAGGCAAGGATGGCCAACCTGTGGCGCATGCGCTATAAGTGGCGCATTGGATGCTTACAAGTGGCGCGCATTGCATCCTTTTGATGAAAAGAAACTAAGCCACTTCTACTCATTCATTTCAGTGATTTTATATTTATTGCACGTCCTTTGCGAAACTTTCAAAACTCCTGGATACGCCACTGGTCATAAGCATATATTTTTCAAATAAATAGATTTTATTATATCTTTAAAATATGTCCATATTACAGCACGTACTGAAAGAAAGTGAATGTTTGTGTGGCGCATTTAAATTAATCGTACAAAATATTGGCGTATGGAATCAAAAGGTTGGCCAACCCTGGTCTAAGGATTATATTGAATCAATTGCGAAGTCTGCTGCTAGCAACATCGGTTCATTTTGACGTTTCTCACCAGTATCTATCATGAACGTATCCTATTTATCCGTGTATCGAACATTACTGTCACATCTAGGCTGGCACTTCTGCCATGTATCTAGAAATTCTAGAAAAAACACAAAGAAGACCTAGCATCTCGGTTTCCGTGACTTTCCAACCGCCGTAACATAGCTTCATTTTGCCTCTTCTATAAATATTTTCAAGGTAATTTTACTGATGAGCTTTCTTCTTCGGTATCACGACATTACGTATTTAAGTGCAGTACTAGATTGGCACGTAGGTCTCATACTTTCACTGTTGAAATTACAACTTTTAACCGTAAGTTCTATGCTAATAGTTTCTTCTTCCGCACTTCTCGATTGTGGATTTCTCTTCTGGTTTCCTGTCAATTATAATTTTAAAAAATAAGTCTAGTTTCAATCGTCATCTTCTGTCTCCCTGAATCTTGCTCTTTTATTCTTTTCTGTTTCTTTTACTCCCAGTAACCCCTTGCATCTTAGTGACTTTATTGCCTTGCTTGGAGTGAAATTTATTTAAAAGAACATGAAGCAACAACCGATTTCAAGAAATTATCGTGAATAGTGAAATCAGCAAGTCGAGGTTTATTTGCTTTATTTTGTTTTACGGCATATCAACATCAGTGTGTTATT